CGCCAGAGGCTGTGCTAGAAGGCTGGGGTGAAGGGCTCAGCCTTTCTAGGTCATTCCGCCAAGCAGGGCCACTCCAACAACATTATGATATATACTACATTATGATCAAAATGTAGACATTTTGGGTCTGACTCACCTCCTCCTGCTCCATTTCTCAATTCTTTTTTCCATGTCCATGACATCACCCATTTCCTTTTTTTCCTGGATTCTAGAAAGTCCTTTATAGACTATTCAAAAGTTCTTTTACACTAGTGGTCCCAAGAAAGAGATCCCTTAGGAGTTGACATTTCTGGTGTGACAATATTGGAGGGCTATTAAATCAGCCCCTTCACCTATCCCATTTATTTCACTTATGTTTTCAGATATTTGCCAAAGTGGGTTTTAATTACTATCAGCAGCATTGGCTTGGAAAATGAAGGAAAGCAATCAGAAGTCCAAATTGCCACTTAAGTAGGTCTTCAGGGTATATATAGATAAACTCATTAGCAGAATTACTTCCAAACTTGTAACCAGGGCTTCAGAGATGAGTAGAGAATATTAGAATAAGCAGGGGTAGCCTCCAAGGAGGTGTGAGAATGATACATGATGTTAGTTTCACTCTATGTAGCCTCTTGGCTGCTCTGTTATACTTCCCAGCAACTAGAACAGAGGCCTAGAGACAATGTGTACTTGTTTTACAAAACATTCTTTCACAGAGAGCTCCTAGCAGAGTCTGGTACAGAGTGGAGAGTGAGGAACTATTTCAGCCAAAGGAACTATCAGAAACTGCAGGACTTTGTGCATGGAATATATTTCCCCTTTTGGAGAGATTTTGAAAAGCAATGAACAATGACTGATAACAGTCAATGCAAGTAAAGAAAGAGATGCCTTCTGGGGGTGCGGGGGAACCCAGTTGCTCTCTCAAGGTAGCTAGTACTCAGGGAATTCTAAAGATAAGTATGGACTCTGAATTCTATGCCAACTAGAAGTCAAGATAGAGATGATTTGTAAGATAACCACTCAGGAAGGCCTAATGCCAAACTGACCAAGGTGAGCCCAAGACTTTTCTTTGAAAAAGAGATCACCTCTTTTCCCTCTGACTTTAAAAGTAGTGTGCCTGTTTTTTTTTTTTTTAATAAAGATTTACTTATTTATTCACACAAGAACTGGGGTACAGGTCAGAGGTATGGGATGATGGGGGAAAGGATTTAGCAGAGACAGTGGGGAGCAGAACAGGCAGATTGACTGAAATACACTGCTGAGGGGAGCAGCAGGGGAGACAGGAGAGGTCTATTTCACCATGTGGGTCACCTGCCTGGCCAGGAACCAAACTAGTGCTGCCATGGCTGTGGCTGGAATTCAATAATGTGACTAAACCTTCTAAAATATATACAAAAAGATTCCTCTGGAGACAATGTAGAAGATGCCTCAGAATTGTCCTTCCTTTGAGGTGCAAGAACATGGGCCCACAGCTGACCCTTGAACAACTGGGTTGTTATCCAAATACTTTACTTTTTGGTCCATTGGGTAATTAGGCTGTACTATCCGATGATGAAAATTAGAACTAATATAAAATAGTACAATTGTTAGCAAAAAACAAAATAGAAAAAAATATTATAACAGATATTGGTGTCCCATCAACATCCTGTCAAAACATTCCCTTTGATTTGTGCTTCCAAAAGTTCTCTGTCTGCAACTTTTCACCTAAAGACTTTTTCTTTCAAACCCACCCCACAGGGTTTAGACTGCCCCAACCTACTGAAGGAATCAACAGAGAAAATAACTTACTGGAGATGGGTGTTTCCAAACCAGAGCCAAACAATGAGGAAGCAGGTGCAGAAGTAATGTGAGAAAACAATGATATTAGACAAACTGGCAGAAATATTCCAATCATTCAAGACTACTTTTTGACTTCCTTTATGTCATGGACCTTTCTAGATACAGGAACTAAAATGAAAGTATATGGTGGAAGAAGGGCTGGTACCAGACAGGAAATATTGTTAGAGCAATGAAAGAGCAAAAAAGTCAGGCAGAAATTACAAGAATTTCCATAAAGGTACAATAAATGTGCCTGTCTCTTTTGTTTCCCTTTTCTCTTCTGTACCTCCTTAGCCCCTCCCACCCTAGTATACCAAGATCACCTCCTCTTCGTTCTCCTCCTCAGCCTACACAAAGGGGGTGAAGACCTTTATGATGATTCACTTTGCTTAAAGAAACATAAAACTGTGTTAAACAACTGTCTATGTTTTATCAATAAAACTTCAGTGAATAACCTTCCGTTTTGGGGTATTCAAAGTTGTACATGGATTTTTTGCTTTGTGAAACATTGTAATTCTAGCTGTGGGTGAATGAGTGAAATAGGGGATGTTGGAGAGAAAAGAAGTTTGGTGTTGACCAGTCTTGATTTGAGGTTGATTTAACAGAGATGTCCAGAGGGCAGGGGACTGAAAAACTGAAGCTTAAAGGATAAGTAAGAACTGGATCAAGATTTGGGAACCTCTTAATGATAGGTAGATGGGTGAGCTCATGCTGGAATTTCAAGTAGAAAGAGAAGTAGAAAAGTGGGCTCTGAGAGATACCTACGAGAGAGAGAGAGAGAGAGAGAGAGAGAGACAGAGAGAGAGAGAGAGAGAGAGAGAGAGAGAGAGACAGAGAGAGACAGAGAGAGAGAGAGAGAGAGAGACAGAGAGAGAGACAGAGAGAGACAGAGAGACAGAGAGACAGAGAGAACATGAAATCCTAGAAGAGGCTGTGATGGAAACTAAAGAAGTTGACATTCTAATGTAAGAAAGAAGAAAAAGGCCCTCCCTGGTGGCACAGCGGGTTAAAGCACAGCACTGAGAATCTAAAGCCACTTCCACATGAGTTCGATTCCCGCCTGCCCCGGAGGAGACCACATGGCATGGCAGACCTCTCCTGACCCGCCCGCTGCTCCCCTCAGCAGTGTACTTCGTTGATCTGCCTGTTCTGTTCCCTTGAGCCTCTGGCCTGTAACCCTGTTCTGTATGCACAAATAAATAAATCTTTAAAAAGAAAAAAAAAAGAAAGAAGAAATGTGTAGTATTGAATGCAAATATATTAGAGGGATTCAGTGAGGTTAAAAAAAGATGATGTAATTTAGTGCATACTTAGAAAAAATAACTTGGAGGTTCTTGGTGACCTTAATGAGAGCAGTTTCAGTGGGATGTTATGGACAGAATCTACTAAGTCTTAACAAACCTTCAAAAGGGCTTGCAGGATGTCTGGTTACAAATTCTGAGGTTAGTTTTGGGTAACCCAGTGGCCCCTTTCAGTCCAAGTGTCCAGGAAAGGTCTAGAGGATCTGAGAGGATGTAGAGCCACATTGAGCACAGCAGTGGATTGAGTGACTGGAAAATGACACAAAACTGGAGATAGTAGATTTCAAAAATGAAAAGACAAAATAAGAAAAAGCAGTAAGTAGGAATCATGTAAACGACCATTTATAGTTTTGTTTTTAAACAACAGAGAGAGCTCAATGCAATATGGGAAAGGACTTTTTAACTTGGTAATAATTACTTCCAACATGATCCAGAGATTTTAGTTGATCATACACTTAAAATGAGCCAAGAGTATGACTTAATTCCTGAAAAAGCTAGCACTGGCTTGGGCTGTGATAACTGATGATACATAGAAGACAAAGGATAAAAGGAAGTGGAGGCACCAGGAGAATACTAGTTTTTTTTTTTTTTGTAAGTAAGGACAATCAGGGAAGGAGTAAAATAAAAAAGTTAAAATGAGAGCCATTAGGGAAAAAATGCAAGGATGGATCTGAGTATTTTCATAGGCAGAACCTATTAGGGAGGATAAAGAACACGGGAGAAGGGATAACTAATTATACAGGTATCTAAGAAAGTCAGTTTGAACAGAAGGGGAATGCCTGCCTCAGCCTTAGAGAGACTGGAGAGAAAGCTTGAAGGATGTGAGTGACCACAGATAAATTGCTGTTTGAGAAAGAATTCAGGCACTTGGGAAGAGCTAGGCTAACGTTTTCAATTTATTTGATGAAGTCATACTCCTCGGGGACAGGACTGTTTCTGAGAATGTGTGTGGAAACAGAACAAGCACAGGGAAATTGGGGAAGTTGGAAGGAAGGAAAGAGAAGTTCCTGATATAATGGGATTCTTGGTTTTTGAAACAGGTTCCAGAAATCAGCAGGTTTCTTCTGGGGCTCTTTCAGATCACTTTCCCCTAGGGGACTCAGAATTTTATGAACCTCTGCTGGCTTTTCCCACCTGGCTCAGAACTGCCAGTCCAGGCTCAAGAATGTGTTCATGAATCATACTTAAAAAAAAACAAGCCGAAGTGGAATTCTTACTCAGGAAAAAAAAGCCTTTGAGACATAACACAAACATTTGAAAAACATATTCTGGCAATGTGCAACTCTTCCTGTTAACATTAGTGACTTTGGTGGAAGTCACGAAACACACAGAATTTGCACAGAGGTAATAGGTGTTAAATCTTGAAATATGCAAATGATCTGTGATACAACTATCAGACAACGGTAAAAAACTGTAAAAAAAATAATAAAACTTCAAGAATCAAATTTGGAGGACCAGAAGTTCACGAAAAACCCTTCCCCACTCCACAGGAGCGCCCAGAGTCAGTTGAAGGGCCAGCATTACACAAAATGTTTTCTGTGCCCTGCCCTTCCAGATTTTACTGAGAAACACAGCTACAAAAATCGGTATACCTTTAACAGAAAGCTAAGTTACGTGAGAAGAGGCATAAAATGCAGTAAGATCAAATTCTTTCGTCCTGAGAGTAGAAGACTGATTTCTCCAACACTGAGAAAGAGTCACAAGATCCGAGAAGAGGCAAAATCCTTCGGGAGAAACCAGTCCTTGACCCGCACAGCCCTCGGCGGAGGGCAGCCAGGTCGCGCAGCACTCGTCACCAGAGGGCGCAGCCCGACGCTGGCTATGGAAGCCCCGCCTCCATTTCCGGCAACGCAGAATGGGGAGGGGCCAGCGATAACTTCCGGCTTCTGTGCGTGTCGCGATTTCCGCACGTGTTTCATCCTGTCGCTGTACCTGGATCCTCCCTGCGCCTGGAGAATCGGTCGGGCCTGGACTCCCATCAGCCGTAAGGATGAAGGCGGTGAGTCTTCAGAAGCCGGTTCCTCTCGCCTTTGATTGACAGTCGTTGCCTGATTTAGCCTTGTGGCTTGGTCTTCGCCCTCGTTTAGGGGGCGGTGACCTAGGTTGTATTGGGGCTCGCTCTTGGCTGTCAGGTTTACATCTGACTGTTCGCTTCACCCACTGTGCGCCTCCATCGCCACTGGGGGTGAGATCTGCGAGTCCCAGCTAGTATCCGTCGGATGTCAGATTTTGAAGGGTTGTTGGAGACAGGCTTTAGAAACGTCTTATTTTATTGAAGAGAAGCAGAGTTCTGGCCTCAGTGAGTTTTTGAGTCTTGAGACCTGAGACCAGGCTATTTTGCCAATGAAGTCTAAAGAGGGTGTAAGCAAGAAACTTGCCCCGGTTTTTACAGAAATTAGAGTTAGCTCTGAATTTCGGATTTTCGAAACTAGGGTTCACCAGGTGGAGAGTTTGAATTCAGTTTCGCCCTCTTTAGTTTAAAGGTCTTTGACAGGTTACATGATCTCTTTAAGCCTTAGCTTCATCAGTCATGTATGATGATCACAGAAATCCCTCCTTAACTAGGTTGTGTTGGGATAATGTAGCAGTTTGTAAATGGTATCTATTATTATTATAATCACACTATTCTCTTATTGCTAAAGATAGCTAGCATTTTTGCTCTGAGGTGTTGAGCTGACTAGAAATAACTACCGTTAGATCAGTGGGTTTTTTTGGTTAAAATTCTTTTGAATAATTGTGGATTGAGTTGAATAACTGATACCTTATGGCTATTTTGTAGGATTAATACCGTAGAGTTCCCCCCCGCGACCCCCCCCCCCCATGCTTTTACATGCAATATTCATGGCTATGAGACTTTAAAATTGTGGGGTTGGCTTAAGGAAATTGTAATAAACTTAATTTTAAAGGCAAATTAGCTTCAGTCTCTGAATAGGCAGTGCTTCTTCTGTTGTTTTCTAGAGAAGAAATAAAAAACAGGTCCCAAGCTTTCGGAAATTGATAAAAACCAGTAAAGTCAAGCTTGAAAACAAGCTTAAAAATAAACAATTTAAACAACAAAGCACCCTCAAGAAGTATCGAAAAGAACAGAGGAAACTAAGGCAAGCTGTAAAAGATGCTGTGTCTAAGAAGCCCATTCCACTGGAGGACCCAAAAGGAAAACGACCAGGTACTTGTGAAAATATCCATGTGCTTTAGTTTCCATTGATTTGTTCTAAAATATTCTTTATGAAATCACTTTACTTTCTAGAAATCACTGTCCTTGTACTCATTTTAACAATAACTAAGGTAATGGAAAGATAATTTGCTTTATACTCATATGAGAAAATACTTCAGTATAGTTTTTATTGTGTAAAAGAGCCTCTGCTTTTAGTTTGTATGGACAGCAGAATTGTAGATTACGATATTTTGGAAAGCAAGAGTAGCCCTGAACGTAAATGTTTGTTCCCGGGCTGTCCAGCCACCTTCCCATTCACTGGCAGTTAGCTGAGGTAAGAACATTGCTCTTTTTTGGTGCATTTTTCAGTGTTGCCACGGCTAGCTTAGTTTTGTAAATTCCTGGCTTCCTTGGCTTGGGAATTTGGAGTGAAATAGAGTTATAATTGTCAGGATTATTGTTGTGTAAAACTATCCAAGAATTACAACTACTCAAAACAGCTATAGAATATGATCATTTTGAGTCTGACCAGTTCTATATTGTTATTGGCACACTTGCAGGGTATTCGTATTTGACTGCCTTTGATTATTCAGTCTTCTTTTGTTCACTTCATTCTTTACGCCTGACATACTTAGTTTGATAACTTTGCAAAGTGATGTAATGTATAAAAGGTCATTGGACTGGAAATTAGGAAACTGGAGGCTTTCTTTTGATTTTGGTGTGTACCAGCTATGTGGCATTTATTTTTAAAATTTTAAAGATTTATGTGTTTATTAATACAGAACTGGGGTATAGGCCAGCGGTGTGGGAGGTGAGAGGATTCAGAGACTGAGTGAGAAGCAGAACAGGCAGATCTACAAAATACACTGCTGAGGGGAGCAGTGGGCCATGTGGGTCACTCCTTGGCTGGGATCAAATTCAAGCTGAAGCTGCTGCTTCTAGCTTTGTATGCTGTACTTTAACCCATTGTGCCACTAGGGAGGGTCCCTTATTTTAATTTTTATAAATTTGTATAGGCCAGAGTTGTGGAGGTTGAGAGGGCTCACCAGAGACAGAGTGGGGAGCAGAACAGGTAGATTTACTGAGACAACCTGCTAAGGGGAGCTGTGGATGAGACAGAAGAGGTTTGATATGCTATAGGGGGGTCAGCTCCCTCTCTGGGAATCAGACTTAAGCTGCAGTGGTGATGCCACTGAGACTTACCCTCTAGGCAAGAAGGAAGGCCCTTGTGTGGCATTAGGTTTTCTCTCTCTCTCTTTTTTTTTTTCTCTCTCTTTTTAAAAAAGATTTATTTATTTATGCTTACAGAACTGGGGTACAGGCCAGAGGTGTGGTGGGTGAGAGGACAGAGTGGGGAGCAGCACAGGCAGATTGACAAAGTACACTGCTGAGGGTTACAGAGAGTGGGTCAGGAGAGTCTGCCATGCCATGTGGGTCAGTTCCCTGGCCGGGTTTCCAACTCATGCTGCAGTGGCTTCAGAGAGCTTCATAATGTGGTGTTTTAACCCATTGTGCCACCATGGAGAGCCCAGGCATTTGATTTTCAAGGGTCAGAAATGCTAGCATTTTGCCTAGCTCAGGACATCCCAGTACAACAAAGAATTGTCTAGTATGTCCCAAAACACTGGTCTCAGGTATTAGAGAGGCATAAACTTTTCTGATTGGAACACAATAATGCACAGTCCTCCATCTGTAATATTTGTTTCTCTCTCTTTTTTTTTTTTTTTTTGTGGTGGAACAGTTAAGCGGATTGAGAGGGAAGAGGAAGAAGAGGAGGAAGCGCTTCCTTTAGATATGATGGATGAAGATGACTTACAGTTATTGAAGGATCTAGGACAAAGAGCATCTTTTCTAACAAGAGATCTTTCTTCTAGGTAATGATTTCATGTAATATAATCATATCCTTCAGCATTAAACACTTGTGTCTGATTTTTACTTAGGTGGTTTGTGCAAGACCTTCAGCTCTGAACACAGTGTGTTTATTTTCTAAATAATGTTCACAAGTAAAGCTGATTTTATTTAGTGTGCATCTTTTTTTTTTCTTTTGAGTTAGTGAAGTAGAGGGAAGGTGGAAAGAATGCTATTCTCTGAAGAATGTTTTTTTCTCTTTGTGGAATAATTCTCAGTTCTTTTTTGATCACCGTTTGGTGTTCTTTACATTTTAGGTAGGTAGAATTCCCATTTTCAGAGGGGAAACTAGTGCTTTCCTATAGTTACAAGTAGTGGACCTGAAATTTAAACTTAGATTTTTTTTGACACCAAAGTCCATACTGCACTCTGAAGTTTTTTTGGGAAAGTCAGATAACATCAAAATCAGATCTGTAACTTTCACCTTTATTCTGCATCTAAAGAGAAAACTAGCTGTACTATAGATGGCATCTTTGTGGTATGCAGTTCCTTTATTCATTTACTATTTTGAGTTCCTAGTCTAGGTGCTTATAATCTACATACGTGTTGAAAGTTTCGCTAAGTAGTTAGCTTCTCTGTACTTTAAAAATGATAGGTTTCTAGGTTCCTTTTAAAATACATTAACACTGAAAATTGAAATTTTTTTTGGCAGTGAACCTGTTCATGCCAAGAAACGAAAACATGAACATGTTATAGATAAATATGAAAAAATACCAAGAACTCTGCAAACTGCACCAGAGAAGGAACTGATTCACTTGCTTCCTATCAAAGATAAAAGTGGTATAATTCCACAGACCAGGGAGAAACCAGGTAAATCTAAGTAGCTGGTGTATTCAATTTAGTTTCTTACTAGAATCACATTTTTTAAATTTAAAATTAGTTTTATTTTGACTTTTATCCATATCTACAAAATAGAGATAACGACAATTAGTCATACCAGGCTTGATGATTTTGGCCAGAAATAATTATCTAGGGTGTCTATTTTACTGTGAGGACCATTGAAACTGCAGGGTTAATGTGATTTTTCAGAGCATTTCACCAAATCCTGTTGTTTCTAAAATCAGAGCGTATTGGTCAGTCTTTTTTCTTATATGTGTTTTTTTTTTTTCTTATGAAATAAAACACACAGAAAAGTCCAGGAACCAATGTTATGAAACACTGTACCATAAACCACCAGTAACATACACGGATACTTCTGGCATGCCCCTTAATCACTTATTGCTCCTTCCTCACAAAAGTAACTAACTCCCTGGGATTTATAGTCACTTCTTTGCTTTTCTTTGTGATGTCCCTCACTTACATACTTTATCACATTTATAATACACATTTTCCATATAGTTATTGAAAGTAACCAAGAAGAAGAGGTTCAAGAAGAGATGGAACTTGAAGAAGGTAAGACGATGCATCTTTACAATTAGTAAATTATTAGTTGAAAATTACCCTTTTTTGGCATAGTAAATAGTATGCAGTGCAAAATGTGAATCATAGGTGAAATCTGAAATGTGGATTTTTGAGTACTGGTGATTTCATTGTCATTTTGAACATTTTTCCATATTTTGAAAGTCTCACCTTATGGAATTTGATTCTTTGTTGCTTTTTATTATGGAAAAATCTTATTCATTTGTGTGTAATATCTAGGCAGGCATGAAAAGTCCTGTATATTGCTGCAGTTTTGAATTCTTTGTAAGTGAAGGTCTTGTCTACAAGTAGCTTTACAAAATTACAAAAATGATTCTATGGTTATGAAATCATTTTAGGTCTTTCTGAGAGAAATTGTACTTTATATCTATTTTAGATAATTACATGTAGGTTTTAATAGCTACTGCAATTCTAATCAAAATTAAACTGAAAACATTGTTGGAAACTATTGGTCTGAGATAGAATAAGTTGGTTAAATTTGCTTTCACTTACATATCTTATTAGTGTAAATGAGATTACAAGTCAACTACTTTTGAACTTTTTTAACTTTTATAGATTGATTAGGTCTTTATGAAATCTGACTATCTATGACTTTCTTAAGGTGGACAGATTTTGCATAGCTCAAAGAACTGTATAGAGTTGAAAACAAAGGAGAGTATTCCATACTCTTAAAAAACTATGTCTGTTACCCCTTTCCCTTAATTAATATGAATTGTGGTTTTTTTGGCTTAATATAGAGTATGAATTCTGAGTCAGGCTCTCTGGGTTTGAATCTCATTTCTGCCATGTTTATGAGCTTAACCAAATTACTTTCCCTTTGCCTCAGTTTATTTATCTACAGTGTGGGGCTAAGGATTGGACCTGCCTTGTGTGATTTTTGAGAGGATGAGGTGTAATAACCTTGTCTCATGGCAAGTGTTCAATATTGTTTATTACATTGGTTAACGTTCTTGGGTATAGTAAATAAGATAGGAAGTCTCTTCTGTTTCAGAAATTATTGAAGAGCCCATTAGAGAGCTGACATTAGAAGAACATTTAATTGAGAGAAAGAGGAAACTTCAGGAAAAGAAAATGCATATTGCAGTCTTGGCATCTGCCATATTATCAGATCCTGAAAGTAATGTAAGTAACATTAACTTCTTTAGAATCTTCATGTTATATGTGGTTTTAATACTTAAGATTCTCTTATTAACCTATATGTAAGAACACACAACACATAGTAACTGGGTTAGGATAAGAGTAGACAGAACTTTAGCTTAATCCTATGTCTGAATCTTTACTTCTGTAGATCTTATTACAGCTACTTAAACTGAGTCTTACATTTCTCACCTCTAAATGAAACTGTTGTACTTAACATTGTAACTCTGAAAGTTGTAAGTGTAAAATACGAATTAATTATATTGGAGAGGAGGAACTTGCAAATTTGCTTGGCTCATCTATAGAGTTTTTAATAGGAAACAAAGTCAGTGGGATTAGTTCAGTAATACTTTTTTTTTTTTTTTTTTAAAGATTTATTTATTTATTCATACAGAACTGGGGTACAGGCCAGAGATGCGGAGGGTGAGAGGATTCACCAGAGAGAGAGCAGAGAGCAAAACAGGCAGATCGAGGAAGTACACTGCTGAGGGGAGCAGCGGGCGGGTCAGGAGAGGTCTGCCACGCCATGTGGATCTCCTCTGGGGCAGACAGGGATCAAACTCATGTGGAAGTGGCTTAAGCTTCTAGTGCAGTGCTTTAACCTGCTGCGCCACCAACGAGGGCCCAGTTCAGTAATACTTGTAAGTGGAAAATATTTTAGGTGAAATTGGTCAGATAATTGTCTGTGGTATAGTGTGAAGAAGATGATCATTATAATGTGTGGACTCAGGAAACCTGAGATTTAATTCTTTGCTGAGGACTATCAGACTTCTGACATGTTGCATTGGCCAAGATTTATTTTCTTCTCTAAAAAGATGGTGCCTGCTTAAAAACTTTGTTGTGGCCCTCCCTGGTGGCGCAGCGGGTTAAAGCACTGCACTGAGAAGCTAAAGCCACTTCCGCATGAGTTCGATTCCCGCCTGCCCCGTGATCCACATGGCGTGGCAGCCCTCCCATGACCCGCCCGCTGCTCCCCTCAGCAGTGTACTTCGTCGATCTGCCTGTTCTGCTCCCCGCTCTGTCTCTGGTGAAGTCTCTCACCGCCCCTGAGCCTCTGGCCTGTACCCCAGTTCTGTATGTACAAATAAATAAATCTTTAAAAAAAAAAAACAAAAAAAACTTTGTTGTAAGAACTTAATGATAAATTACATATGAAGTCATAAAGGGGTATTGTTTTGCTGGTGTCCCCTATGACAAATATTTGTTTATTGGACAATAAGGTAGATATATACATTTGTAGAAAAATATTCATGAATATGCTTTTGAGTGTTGCTTATTCTTTTCCAGTAAAGTGAGGGGAAGATCTGAAACAGAATTGGGAAAGGGAATTTGGACTAGTTCTCACTTGTAACTGAAAAATTGAACCTTAAAAAAATTTAAGTGATTTCCCCCCATATTTTAACACTACATGCAACCCAGGTCTTCTAAGTCTGGAGCCTCATGCCTCATTTCACATACATCAGGTATTGCAGAAGTGGCTTATTTATGTTGCTATGGTGATAAACATTGCTAGTCAACCAGACTGTTGCTTCTTAAGATACTGCTCCAGCAGTAGTAGTTTATCAAACCTAGTACATTTGTTTAAAGTTGTTTTTTTACTCCTGCATTACATCATATAATCTTTGTGTGAGTCTTGTTGAACTGGAGTCAAATGGATATATTTAGTTCATGGATAGATGACTAATGTATTTGGTGTATCTTAATATAGCTCAGAAAGTATAGGTAGAATTTGCAGTTTTTTAAATTACAAGTTAATAAATTTAAGCTATTTAAGTCTGTCTCTTGATCTGTCTAATCTGTCTATACTTTTGTAAAAAATTTATTAATAAATACAAGAGCTGGAGTTTAGGCCAGAGGTGTAGGTGGTAAGGGGATTCACAGAGTGAAGAATAGAACAGGCAGATTGACTGAAATGCACTGCTGAGGGGAGCAGCAGGTGAGACAGGAGAGGCCTGCTGCACCATGCTGCACCATGTGGGTCAGCTCCCTGGCTGGGGATCGAACTCATGCTGCAGTAGCTGAGGATAGCCTGATAGTACTATCCCCTTCACCCCTTGCACCACCAGGGAGGCCCTTAAGTCTATATATTTTTTAACTTATTTAACAAAATTATGACTTACAACTTCAGTGATGTATCTGTTGGTAATGTGCAGCATCGAGTTATAGAAAGTTTGTCTAGACTCTGGTGAGTCATTGTGTAAATTGTGGGGCTGTTGTCATTTGTTCATTATTGTTTTACCATGATTTCTCTAGCCTTGTAAGCTATTTCTTTTACAGATTAAGAAATTGAAAGAATTACGTTCCATGCTAATGGAACAGGATCCTGATGTAGCTGTTACAGTTCGAAAGCTGGTGGTAATTTCTCTGATGGAATTATTTAAAGATATTACTCCTTCATATAAAATCCGACCCCTCACAGAAGCAGAAAAATCTACCAAGGTAATGCTAGTTATGGTTATTGCACAAAATAAGCTGCAAATTTTGGAAAACTAGAGGTGGGAAATAATAATAGATTTTTTAATGTTTATTTTTGCAGTATTGATATATAATCACAATTTATGCTGATTTAAGGATTTCATATTAAAAAATGGCTGCATTTTTTTTTTCTTTTCAGACCCGCAAGGAAACTCAAAAGCTAAGAGAGTTTGAAGAAGGCTTGGTTAGCCAATATAAATTTTATTTAGAGAATCTGGAACAAATGGTTAAAGGTATAGTAAGCATATCTTAAAAATGTGTAACATACATAGCTTTAGTCAGAAAGTGAATTCTATTCTGTGTTGTGTGTTGAAGAGAGTGTCAGGAACAGAGGCTAGAGTCAGCCTTTCCCTAATATTCCTCAATAATATTACATTGTATCTGTATACCACATTTTTTTTTTTTT